CCCTGGTGACAGATGCCGTGGTAGTGGACCGATCTAGTAGCACGGTCGATCGCGGTCTTGCGGTAACAGCAATACTTTTGCACCAGGGGCGCTGGTTCGTTGTTATGACTGATGCCACCACGGGTCGCCCGCTAGGGCCGAAAAGGTCGGCGAGCGTTGTCTCGACCCCGTCTGCATCTGTCGTGACGTGGTCACGCCAGTATGGTCGTGCCAAAGCCTGCCCCTGCCCCTCCCCTAGCTCCTCCCCCCGCCTGGTCAGGACACCCCAGTTTCTTTCAAAGCTGCGGAAGGCCCTGGGGTCAGTTTGTAATCTGCGATGTTGTTCCCATACCTCCCTGGTCAAAAATGGCAATGTCTGAATCCCTGCTCTCGTACCATCCCATTCCCTCGTCCACCTGCGCTAGTTAGCGTCTGCATATCCGTCGCAAAATGCTCTGCCCAGGGGGTGGGGTCGGGGCCGATCCAGCTCATAGCTGTTAGTCTCCGAAGGCCTCGTGAAACGTCGCGCCGGGGCGATCCGAGAACTGCTGCTCGCACTGCGCCATGCCCTCAGGATAGCGGGCCCAAATTTGGTACTGGCGCAATCGTCGCACCATGGGCGACGCGCTCGTACGTTCCATGCGCCAGGGCCGAAATACCTGTCGGAGGTTGTTGCATCGCGTGGTTCCGTCCTCCCGTGCCCAAGACATCGCCCCGCATGCTAGTGCGCGTAGGTACTTGCCCAGTATACTGTCAATGGCGTTAGTATGAGTCGTAGTGATGGCGAAGGCAGCAAGGCCGCTGAGTGCTGCACCTATGACGAAAACCATGAGCATCAGTCGTTTGATTTGTCTGGGCGTCTCGCTAATCCAGAAGGTGCCGCGTTGTCTCCAGCCGATGCGCACGGCGGCGATGCGCCTGGCGATTTCGCCTGCGATGCCCTGCCCCGTTGGGAGGTAAGGGCCGACCACCCTCATCTCCCGCTGTGCCGGGCCTTTCAGCGTGGTGCTGCGTCGGAGCTTGCGGGGAGTACCGTAGCTTCCTTGACCAATGATGTAGAGTAGGCGGTTGGTCTTACTGCGATTGAGGCCCCGCCCCCCCCCCCCCCTTTTGCAGCGTCGCTGGCAGGCGGTCGGTGGCGTCGTTGAGTTGCTCCTCGATCCGAGTCGCGCTCGCCTGCGGTGGGGCGGCCTGCACGCCAGTAGATGTCGCCCGTGAACGCGCTGTGGCCAATGCCGTGAGTTTTGCCGCCTACAGGGTCGTAAGTGTCGTGTAGCCATTGGTTGGGGTCGCTTCTTTCGGTAACCCACCACTGGCTCATGTAGACGTTGTAAGCGTCGTTGAATTGTCTGGGGCAGAGTGTAAAGCCCCTTTGAGCGCCCGCGGCGCTTTCAGCCTCGATTTGCCCGTCTGCGGTGTCGAGGCCGAAGGTGGAGTGGTCGATGGCCGCCATCGCGAAGCGCTGGTCGCGCTCGCGAGCGTTCTCGAAGGCAACTGCCCGTGGGAGCGCCCTACTGGCAGCTGCAATTGCGTTGGTGCCGTCGTAGTTGGCGGTTGCTGTGCTGGCTCCACCTCGGGCCGCTCGCCGTTGGGCAGCTTGTGCACAGAGTATGCTGGTTTCTCGGCATCTGCGCGGTAGGCCGCCTTGGGCCCACGGTGGGTGGTCGGGCGGTGGTCCGCGCTAGTGGATGCCCGAGTGCCAGGCCATGCCGAAAGCGTCGCAGACGCGTAGTAGTCGTTTGCCGAGAATGTTTGGTTAGTTGTTGTTCTTTTTTCTGCCGAGAATGCCCGGGGGCGGTGCCAATCTAATGGGGTGATCTGGCAGCTGCAGCGCTGGGTGAGGAACTCGGCTAGGTAGTCCTGGTACTCGTAGTCCAGCTCGCTGATCTCGGTGGTTCCTAGTCCCGCGTAAGTCCCCCTGCCCATCCCGTAGGATCGTTGTGCCCACGCGTCTTCGTAACGCGCATCGTGCTGCGTGGCCCCCCCTTCCAAGCTCGCTGCCCGTCGTCCAATAGCTCCCTGCCCCTCTTGAACTTTCCCAGTGCACTATAGTGGGCTAGGTCCTCCTCGCCCTTTCTCCGCTCAGGCTCTTCGAGCTGGTCGGATAGTTTAGTCGGGCCGTGGAGATGTAGCACGGGGTCCAGCATAATCCATGCGAGTTCGGTCGGGGCGCCCCGAGCTGGCCAAGCCCGCCGCTTGCGCGCGCGCTGGAAATCGCGGAGCATAGCCCTTTTGTCATCGGCAACCTGCCCCTGTAAACCCGTGTCTATGGGTAGTCGGTTTACGGATTCAGCCATGTAGTCGCGATGATGGGCTCGCTTGGCTCCTCGATCGATCGGGGTCGCGGCTAGTCCCCCGTCTAGTGCAGGTCGACTAAGTTCGTCTAGCCAGTGCGCCGTGGTCCAATTAGTTTTTTGGTGATAGGAAATATCTCTGTTTCGGGCCACGTTCGTTCCGCTGGTACTGGGTCCGTGGTCGGTGCATTTCTGCGAAGTTGCGCTGCTGGTAAGCCTCCCATAATCTCTCTACAACATGCTTCCGTCTCCCTTTCTCCACCTTCTCTCTTACTGTCCTTAGGGCAGCACAAAGCTCTTTTATTTCGGCCTGTACCGCATCGTACTCGATCGATGAGCTCTCGTCGGTCAGTCGTGATCGCAAGACGCGTTGTTGCTCGAGCAGTCGCGGGCGCTGTTGCTTGGCCCTGCCAGTGAGTTCGTCTAGTTCGTCGGCCGCACCCATCTTCGCACATGTGGTTAGTAGTGCCTTCCTAGCTGCGCCTCCTAGTAAGTCCCAAGTAGTATCTGGATCTGCAGGGGCCTCCTCCCACCTGTCCCTGCCCACCGCCTGCGCCTCCAGGTTCAGCTGTTGCATCAGCTGACCGCGCTTGTGCCCACTGCGCAGGCAGTCCATCAACACGCCCCTGCATCGCCCTTGTAGGCGGGCGCGGGGCGGGAAGGCGGTGGCGGAGGTGGGGGCGAGAAAAGGCGAGGCCAAGTGGGACGTGATCGCGGTGGCCTCGCACTTTGATATCCTATAATCTTTCGCCTGAAAGCTGCAGTACTTCGCACCGCTCGACTAGGGGAAGGCTACCAGTAGGAATAGCAATGTGGTCAACCCGACTGGTGCACCCAGAGTGTCCGTAGTGCAAGTAGCCCCGACATTGTAGTGGGTGGTGACGATACTGAAATCGTTGGTTTCGCACATTCTTCTGAAGCGGGTGTCGCTGGCGTTCTCTACCTTGGGTTGGTCGGGGCCCACAGTAGGGCCCTCTACTACAGACGATGGAAACGTCTAGCTCCCTGCGCTGCGTTGCGCCCGATCGAACAACTCGGCCCTGCGCAGAGCTCGGGAGAAAGAACAAACATGCGCCGTCAGAGCTGCACGTCGTCAAACCAACGACGCCGCGGCCGGCCTCTGGCACGATGCGGCCGGCTGTTGTTCAGCGCCGCACATGCAGTAGGGGACCATTCGTGCGCTAGTTTAGGCAGCGACGGAGCATGGTGGGACATCAGACGACTCAGTAAATGCTTCCTGCGCTTTGATACAACCGAAGACCAATCTGCAATGTAGTGCAGGCGCCTGGCAGATTCGAGCCTCTGCTTCTTCATTCTGCGGCCAGCATCTTCCCACGAATCGCTATCGTCGAACGCCCAGCCGACGATTCGCCGACGCATTTTCCTCTGCGTAATGTCTAGGTGGTCCAGTTGCTTCTGATCCAACGCACAAGTTTCCAGCCCGTATACCAACGTAGGTGTAGCGGTCGCGTTGAAGAGCTTCAGACGCAGCTTGACGTTGACGTGCCTATCCGTTAGCGAAGTTTGCAGAGAACGGAATTTCAACCATGCACAGCAAACGTGATGGTGGATAGCGCCCTGTCCGCGTTGTCGGAGGTTGCCCGGCCACGCCCTCCCGAGATATTTGTGGGTTCTGTTAGCAGCCACAAGCTCCACGAACCCATCGGCAGTTTCGATCAGAACAATGTCATTATCCGTGGCCGTCGTCGACAACATCTTCGTTTTCTGCACGTTGAGTTCCAGACCATAATTGCGAAGCGTCTGCGAGAGCATGTCTAGCATGTCCACAGCCCCTTCCATACTGCTGGCGAATAGTAACAGATCGTCTGCAAAACGAATGTTCGACAGACGCTCCTTGCTTCCGTCCGAACAGACAGCCAGGCCATGGCCGTTCAGCGTCGCCTTCCACTCGCGGATAGCAGCTTCTAGGACACTGTTGAACAGGAGCGGAGATAGTACGTAGCCCTGTCTGACGCCCCGGGTGATAGGAAACCGGAAATCATTACCCAAGACACCTGTTTGAGATTTGTACAGCGTTCGCAATATTTGGCAATATCCAGAGGGGAGTCCCTGCGAGAGCGCGGAACAGTGCCGGCTGTTCAACCCAGTCAAATGCTTTGCGCAGATCTACGCTGACCAGCCACAGGTCTTCGTTGAACTCGAGGCTCTTGCTCACGAGGCTTTCGGCAACAATCAGAACGTCAGCAGTCGACCGGTCTCGTTGAAAACCAAACTGCTCGTGAGATTGTTGCGAATCTAGAATGCCGCGTATCCTGTGGAAGACCACTCGAGCAAAGATCTTGTAAGAGACGCTGAGAATCGCGATCGGCCTCCAATTGTTCGGGTCTGCGGCGCCCCCGCCCTTGTGCAAAAGTTTGAACCGAAATCGTTGTTGACCGAAATCGTTGTTGACAACCGGATCGTTGTTGACGCTCGCGAATCGCGAGCTCCCTATGGCAACCGAAATCGTTGTTGACGTCGCCCCCCAGTGCTACTGTAGTGTGGCATCCTAGCTTGCCCGTGCGTTCTTCCAACCAGTGAGTCAGACTGCCAGCCAGCAGAGGGTAATACCGCTGATGGGTATGGGGCTTAGAGGAGGAAGTGGGAGAAGAGGAAGAGGAGGAGGAGGAAGAAAGGGAAGAGGAGCAGGAGGAGGAGGAAGCAAACGACGATGAGGAGCCCCCTCTCCCCAACCTATCCTTTCTTCTTCCCAAGCCGCGCGCAAACCGTGGCCCGAGCGTGCTCGCCTCGATGGGCGGAAAGATCTGACCGCTGCCTGCCTCGAAGGGCCAACACCTCAGCCAGGAACGCAAGCCGCACCCTCCCGACTGGATTGGCCCCCTTCCCCCCTCCTCCCGCCCCTGTCCCTCTCCCTCATCCGTGTCTGCTGCGGGAGCCCACGACGACGACGACAACGACGACGACGAAATTCGCTGATCGAGGCTCGAGGCTGACAACGTTTCAGAACCTTTCCTGGGCCCTCCTGGCTCGCCCTCGTGGCCACGCTCTGGGTCGTGGTCTTCCCAACTAGGAGCTCCGCTCTTACAAGGCCTTCCACTTCCATGCTGTGCACGCGCTCCGGCACCACGCGCAAGGACTGCATGTTCTGAGCGTGCTCCTCCCCTCCCCCGCGGCGTCCTCTCCAGCTCGCCGCTCGCCGTGCCCAATTCGGCCACGTGCATCCCACGTCTGCCTGAGAACGCGGCTAGGATTCTCGCCGCTGCGACAAACAAGTTCGCTGGGGCAGTACAAACGCACCGATGCCGCTGCTCCCCAGGCTTCTACAGGAGTGCGCTCTGACCAGGATTTCGAGCAGACTCCCGCCGTGGCGACGAGGGAAGGGTAGAAGGTATCTGTACCCTGTCATCTTCTGAATCCCACCGCCCGCTTCCCCACTGGGTCGCCTTCGCGCTTCTGCACTTACGCGCTGCATTTCCCTGGCCCCCTCGTCGACGCGTGGAAACGTTCGGGTCACAACTCGGGCCTCTGGCGGCCGTTCGGGACAATAGGGGCATCCCGGGCAAACTCTTGACGAGGTGCAGCTGTTGAAGGCATCCGGAAGCGAACAGACCTCCGATAACAGACGAAAGTGTCTGGAACCTCTTCTTGGACCTGATTTATGATCTGATTCACGCTCACGGCCTTTGCGATCTGACGATCACCGCCTTTGCCATCGTACGGCTCCCCAACCCTTTTGCGAGTCTTCTGACCAAGGTCTCGAGGAGAATCCAGCCGTGGCGGCGCGAGAGTGACAGCGATACCTCTGCCTTCTCCTCTGCTTCTTGATCACGGCCTTCGCGGTCTCACGCTCACGGCCTTTGCAATCGTTCGACTCCTCGGGCCTCTGCGCCGCGGCAGCTCAAGGCCTGCCGCGGCGGGGCCACGGGCGGGGCCGCGGCGGGCCTGCGCCTGGTACGCCACGTACAGGGCGTGGGCTTGCTGCCGGGGGCGACGGGGGGGCGAGTCGCAGCGGGGCGGGGTTCGGTGGCAACTCAGGGGAGCCTCCCATGCCCTCTTGCTGGGGCACGCGGATCGACGCGGATCGACCCTAATCGACGCTGATCTATGCTGAGCCGGCGCTGTTCGACGCTAAATCGGCGTCTTCTCATCGACTGCTGGACGCCAGCGCACGCTAATGAACTGTAAAGATAGACATTCTAGGGCATACTCCCGCGGCTTGCTACCGAAAGGGGCGTGGCGGGGGGCTCTGCGGAGGGGGGGGTTGTCAGGACGCAACTCCTGGGAGGTCCTCGTCAGGACGATCAAGGGCTACTCATCACGATTGAGAGGGCAATGAGTTGGAGAAGGCCAGAGTAAGCACAGGATGAAGCCAGGCTAGGCGGGACGAAGCCGAGATAAGTGGGACTAATCTGGATTAAGCAGGACCTAGCCAGATTAGGCCAGTTTTCGACCATGGATGTACCAGCGTCGATTATGAATCTAACCTCTCATGAGTTGCATCCTGATGGGGGGGGATGGCATGCACCCTGCCCTGCTGCTGATTGTGCTTGCTTCAACCGCCGAACGGCTCTGCTCGGATGTGCGGTGTTGCGTCCAACGAGCCAGCGGGACTGGGCAACTCTGCCAGCGCACGGCGACGTCACAACACGCCTCACGAGCCCAGCATAGGCTAGCTGGACCCCATAGGTTTTCGGTGTCAACTTCGGGGAGGGGACGGTAGGGATGAGGAGGGCAGGAGGGGAGGGGAGGGGAGGGGAGGGGTGAGGAGGGAATGAGGGCGCCTCAGGACGGTCTGCAGCAAAGACTGCCCAGGTGGCCTGGAGGAGACCCCGTGACGGCCCAGGGGGACCCCTGAGACCACCCACGGGGCTCCTGAGGGGCTCGGATGCGACCCAAGCTTGCACATGGGCCCAAGGTCCCAAAAGAGCTCAAGACACTCAAGCGGCAACAGCAACATCATGATCATAACCACGAACCGTAGGAGATGCAGCACAAACCATGAGGAGCACAAGCAAAATCGAGACAGGATCAATCCCACGACCAATACAAGATCCAAACATCAGAGGATGGTCCGCATCTGGTCGTGAAACTCTCGAGGTCACCCGATCTGCAGGCAGAGTGTGACGCGTGAGCGAAGGAGGGATGCGGGAGGAGGAAAGAGAAGAACTCTGATGATTGTTTGAGAGGCCGGATAAGAATAATTGGACCGCACAGGAACAACAATATGAACAGACAACACCACTCCTTCGAAAAATGCCATTTGCGTGATTAGTGCGCATGCCAGAAATATTAGACTGATGGTGCGATTCGCCTTGGCAATCGGGGGGGGTCTAAGACGGCCTCTGGAAGGCATTCGGACGGCGTCCGGGCCGCTTAAAGGTGATGGGTTAATTTTCCACCACCATTACCACAGGCAGCAGAGGAGGAGGAGGAGTGAACGTACTCAAAGAGGAAGAGACGAGGGCGAGCGGGCACGAAGCGAGACGAGGGCAAGATGATCCCGCTCACGTCCGACCGCCGCGACGACTACTTCCTAGTGTACTCACTGGGCTCGACCGCTCTGGCACTCACATGGGGCCATACACGGGGAGCGGAATGTAAATCGTATGAAACAGTATGAGAAGCATTCAGGAAAGCGGGGAACACAGGGATGGGCGGAAGAAGAGCGGGGGAAGAGGGAAGGGCAGGGGACGAGCGAAGCGAAGGGCACCGAGACGGGGACGGGCGGGGTGGGGAGCGCGGGACAGAAGGCACAGGGCTAGCTACATCGAGGGGGCTGGTCTCAGGAATGGCCTCAGAGAGGGGTCTCATCTCCAGCGCACGCGCGTCGAAGCAGTTCGGGTAGAATTCTTCACGATAGGGTCGTACGCCACCAGCGGCAGCGGCATGCGGAGCTCGAACGCCGCCATCGGCAGCAGAGGAGGAGGAGGAGGAGGAGGAGGAGGAGAAGCAGGGGGAGGGAGGAGAAGGAGAAAGATGAGGAGGAAAAGACCCGAAGGCGTGGAGCCTAGCACAATGTGACGGGGCAAATGCTCCTCACACTCCTCCGTCATCGTCCTCCTCCTTATCGTCGTCCTCCTCCTCGTCCACCTCCTCCTCATCGTCATAGTCCTCCTTCTCCGTTGCCCTCCTCCCTCTTCGTTTGTGCTCAAACTCGCTGTGGCGTCGCGTCCGCCACCGCCGAGAGGTGCTTGGGGGGGCACCGCGTCTCCCGCTCAAGTTCGCAGGCGATCGCGGTGGCGAAGGCGGACACATTTGTTGTGGAAGAACGAGATGGTTGGTTCGCTCCACGTGATCTCACGTTGCATTCATGCTATTGCCATCACGTTCAAAACGTGCGAGGTGGGCATGAAGTGGCAACGGGTGCCGCGGCTTCTGAGCCTTGGTAGGCGACGTTTGCATTGGCCGTCGGCCTCCTCCCTGTCTGGAGCGGCACGTGCAAGAAGGGCGGGCAGTGGCAGCAGGCAGAATTGTTATGGGCACCGGACCTTGGCCCCCTCCCCTACAGTGGTGATATCGGCGCATGCGAGACGGGTGAACAGCTTTGGAGTGTTCAATCGCTGCGGAGCGTAGTTTGGGAACCGATGCTTGGACCGACGGTTCTCAACTACAACACTCGGACCAACACGTGCGAGAACGAAAGACGTACACAACGCTACGCCGCTGTTAGGCGAAATGGCAAAACGATGCATGAACTGTCCGTCACCCGCTACAATGCTTGAACTGGCACGTGCGAGAAGAGCGGATGGTGGCAGCGGGCAGGCGCTTTGTTGGAGCAGCACGCCGTTCCCTCAGCATGCGCTTGCGTATATGTAAACCATATACTTCTGCTGCAGTCAACTGGCCTTCTGTTTTCATTGGTGGAATTTGGTTCCTTGTTTGGCACGTCTCGCATCTTGGCGTTCATGGGATCAAGCTGTTTCTGCCTTCAAGGTGAGGTGCGCTCGCTGCTAACTTATATCGGCATCGCATGCCCCTTGAAAGCTTTAGCTGGGTGGCTCAGCATCGACGGTTTGGCACTTATCCTTCGCAACATGTGTGTTCAAATCATTCACTTTCGCCGCGCGCTGGAAGTCACACCTGCCGAAACCAGCGGAGGAACATGAAATATGTTGAACGCTGGTTTATCTTCAATACTCGGGAGCCTACTCGGGTGGCGTGCACAACCTGCACACAGGCCTCTCCAATACCGCTTCGCCTCGTTCGACGAGGAGTTCGAAGATTCCTGAGTGTTCGTCGTGGCGCTCGGCCTCAACGTTGTGGTGTCCGAGGCGCTCAGGGGGAGGCTTGCTTCTGATTCATGACATCGTCATTTAGCTATTCCGAATCGTTTTCCCTCCTCGCTGTGATTTTCCTCCTCGGGGCCTCCTCTTCCTCCTTCTCCTCATCTTCCTCGGCCTCCGCCTCGTCTGGTGTGATCGGGCAGATGCTTCCCCCGCAGGGAGGCAGGCCATCGGGAGGTTGGACCCCAAACATTGTTTACTATAAGGGCGACTGGGATGGCGGTTGCAAAACGGCAAACCCCGCGGGGGTACCTTGCACTAGTGCTGATGTCTTGAAGATCCTGGACAGGTTCCAACTAACAGAAACTGTTTCCGAGCAGCCAAACATGCTTTGCGTGGCACTTCCTTTTCGAGATGAACTGGAGCTGGGCTCCAAACTGGGCCCAAGCAATCCATTCTCGTGGGAACTCCGATTGCGAGCAATACCTCATGGAAAACTAAAGAAATATGAAGAGGTAAGCAGAGTGGCATTTCCGCTCGAACGAAGATCCAGTCACGCTGCCGACCGATCGCATATTTGCTGGCAGCGAGGACGGAGACGATATCGGCGGCAATACCGCGGAATGTTTCACCACACGCATGTGGTCCCCCCACGGCCCCGAGACGGCATCACAGACCGAACCGCATCGCACTACAACTTATTACAACGCCGGGCACGATACCAAACCGTACCAACACGTATCACGCGGCATCATCGCATAGACCCCCTATCAAGCACATACCCCTACAGCGTTGCGCCCGCAATACCAAGTAATGTGTTCCCCTCCTCTCGCGTGTCGGCTCAGAATGCATGGGTCCGTTGTCTGGGGAACTGCCGCTCGATCTGCACCGGGCTTGCATCGACATGCTGCGGCGGTAGCGCGTTCACCCGGGTATGCGACTATCCGCGTCTGCACCTCGGCATGACAGCACGACGTGTCGTTTACGCTTGGGACAGGCGGAGCGCGCCGATCGCTTCCAAGGAGCAGCTCGTCACGAGACTGTCGGAGAAACACATGGCACCCCGTGGGGATCCACAGTACGAGGACGGGCACCGATCAGTGGGCAGGCAGATACTGGTCGAGCCCCGACTGGGCTCTATCGTCGGAGCTCCCTCCGCGGATCAATTCTACAAGCCACCCATCGCGACAAGGATGGATCGGGCCCCAGGTGGGCTCAATCGTGGGAACTCCGCCACGGATCACTTCTGCACCGCAACGAACGATTTGCAACCAACTTGCGAGAATGAGGAAGGGGAAAGACTTGAGCGCCCAGAAAACGGCGGCGGGTACACAAACGCATCGGAAATCAGCGTAATCACGATAATCCTTAGCGATTGTTTCCGCCAGCTACTGCAAGAGACTGGGCACCGATCGGACCAACCTTCGAAGAACGTGCCAAGCACTGTCAAACCTCAACCACATGCTGGCGCGAAGCGCTCGAAAATACAAACAGCGAAATGTGCGCCAAGTATGTGGGAAGCAAGGTGGCTACGCCGAAATGGATAAGCACTATGACCCACTCGTGGCAACACTGATTCCCTAGACACAGCCCGCTCGATGACACGACCTGTGGCCTTGACTTCGGAGTTATGACACCTGGCCAAGGCCATACAAAACTGCCCAGGATACACGGCACCCTTTCGGGCTTGAAACCCGCCCCCAGGAGGAAAGCCCTGGAGTTGCTGGTGGGCCCTACCCGTTCGGGAGCAGATCCCTCTCTTGGACCCGCAACAAACATGATATCGGAAACGGCCTGGGTCGAGGTCGAACATGAGGAGGCTCGTGTGTTGTCTCCACAGGGTACCCCACTGGCACACAGACGCGGCAGACAAAGCAAACCTCCGATCGTCGACGGACCAGGGCTTTGAAGCGGGGCGAGAGCCAGAGTCTGCACGACTTAGGGTTCTCGACACTCCAGGGGATGTGCAGAGAGACGCTCACACGCGCGAGGGTAGCGATCATGTTATTTCCAACAATAGAAACATTAGCGAAGGCTTGCATGCGAGGTTTAAGGTCATGGAGGCCGAAAAAACATGCATCAGAACGCACAGGCGGGGCTACAGGCCACGAGGCGCCGTACAGCGTGGCGCGGGACGCATGTGGTCACAGCCACTGGGGCCTTCGGTGGAGGTCCCTATGGAGCCAAGAAGCGCACCATTGGGTGGCACGGGGCGCGTGTGGTCACAACCACTGGGGCCTTCGGTGGAGCTCCTATGGAACCGCGAAGCGCCGTACTGGGTGACGCGTGACGCGCGTGGTAACAACCAGTGGGGCATTCGGTAAAGCTCCATATGGGATCACGAAGCGCCGTACTCGGTGGCGCGAGACGCACGTGGTCAGAGCCACTGGGGCTGTCGGTGGAGCTCCCGATGGGGCCACGAAGCGCACCGTTGGGTGGCGCGAGACGCATGCGGTCACACCCGCTGGGGCCTTCGGTGGAGCTCCCCTTGGGGCCACGAAGCGCACCGCTGGGTTGCGCGAGACGTATGTGGTTTCAACCTGTGGGGCCTTCGGTGGAGCTCATTATGGGGCCACGAAGCGCCGTACAGCGTGGCGCGGGACGCATGTGGTCACAGCCACTGGGGCCTTCGGTGGAGGTCCCTATGGGGCCACGAAGCGCCGTACTGCATGGCGGGGGACGCATGCGGACTCAGCCACTGGGGCCTTCGGTGGAGCTCCCAAGGAACCACGAAGCGCCGTACTGGATGGCGGGGGACGCATGTGGTCACAGACGCTGAGAGTTTCGGTGCAGTTCCCAATGGGGCCACGTAGCGTGTGAGGAGGCGCGGCGCGGAAGAGAAGGAACGCGGGGCGCCACACTTCACAACGAAGACCGAACAACACGTTGTTTGGGAAAACAATTCCGCAACCCATCGGAAGAGATTTGAACATACACAAGAAAGACCCGTGCAAGAACAGAAAGGGGCGTGAGTGGATGCAGAAAGGCCCGTGCAGTGCCCGGCGCCTGTCGCTGGTGCATCGCTGCCATGGCCTGAGCAGAGCGCCGGTGGCAACACGCTTCGTCTCTTCTACTTCCCCTCCCTCTTCCCAATTTTCGATATCCCCCTGGCTATCGATCTCTTCCCCCTCCCTCCCAATTCTCGATCTCCTCCTGGTTATCGGTCTCCTCCCTCCTTCCTGGTTTTCGATATCCTCCTGATTATCGATATTTTCCCCCCCTTCCTGGTTGTCGGCGTCCTCCTCGTTTTCGGTATCCTCCTCCTCCTCCTTCTCATCTTCCTCCTCCTCCTCCTCCTGCTGGTTCTCGGCATTTTCGTCTCCCCCCCTCTCCCGGATCGATATCCTCCTCATTCCCCTCGCCCACCTTACCACTCCTCCGTCTCAGGGCAACAATAGGGGCGGACTGTCTCATAGGAGGGGGGATATTGACCTGGAATCGAAAATGCGTCGCCGATGGAGCGGCGATTACCCCGCAACCAACCGTGCGCAGCTGCGAGTACCGCAAATCCGAATAGCTCTCATTGGCAGCGGGCTGAAGGAAGAACGAGGCGCGGGGCACTACAAACAGAGGTTCAGGGGAGGAGCAGAAGGGGATGGTTGGTTTTCAAATTTTTCCCCCTCCGTGTTCTCGCGCGTGACCGCGGCTCTGGGCAGAGCGCAACGCGGAGTCCCCGCGATGCGCGCCAGTTGCCCCGCAGGGGTCCAGGCGACGCGGGCGGGTCGTCCTCTGCGCGGAGCAACGTAAGCGAGCTGGCTGGCCGACGGCGGGCCAGGCGCTGGCCGCTGAACAGAGCGACGACGGGCGAGCGAGGAACTGTGCGGAGCGCAGCACGGAATCCCCACGACGCGCGCCGGTCGCCCCGAAGGAACCCCGGCGACGCGCGCAGGTCGTCTCAAGCGCAGCAGCTCAGACCAGCCTTAGACTTGCACTGCCGCGCCAGCCCCCCCCCCTCCCGCGGCCTTCTCCACAGAAGACGCTTTCCACCGTCTCCTCTGCGCCGGCGTCGTTTCAAAAACCCTCCTAGCAGAATGGGGAGCCACCAGATCGCCGGAAGACTCCACAGGCCCTGGCGGGCCTCAAATGCCCCCCCTCTCCCAACTGCCAGAAACCTGAATCCTCGTCGGCGGCAACTACTGGACCACCGGAGCAGCCTCGGAGCGCTAGTGTGCCCGAGAGGCTCTCCTGCATCTCCTCTTCCTCCTCCTCCTCCTCCTCCTCCTCCTCCTCCTCCTCCTCCTTCTCCTCTCCTCCTCCTCGTCTTCCTCGTCCTCCTCGTCCTCCAGATTGTCTTCATCCTGGCCAGAGCGCGCTCTCGAACTGGCCCTTGCATCGAGGTTGAAAAGGCCTCGACCTCTGACATCGTCCGTGCTCACATTCTCTACTCCGCCTTCCGTCTGGAACATTTGAAGGGTGCACGCATGCGGGTGGCGCCACTGGGGCCTTCGGTGGAGCTCCCTATGGGGACACGAGACGTGTGAGGGGTATGCCGAAATGGGTGGCGCGGACGCATGTGTACGCATCCACTGGGACCTTCGGTGGAGCTCCCGATGGGGCCTCGAACCGTGTGAGGGGTGTGCCGACATGGGCGCAGGACGCACGTGGTCCCAGCTACTGGGCCTTCGGTGGAGCTGCCTATGGGGCCGCTTCGTACTGGGTGGCGCGGCACGCATGTGGTCCCACCCACTGGGGCCTTCGGTGGAGCTCCCCATGGGGCAACGAAGCGCCGTACTGGGTGGCGCGGGACGCATGTGAACGCAGCCACTAGGGCTTTCGATGGAGCTCCCTATAGGGCCACGAAACGAGCCAAGGAAATGCCGAAGGCGCGGGAAACATGTGGACGCAACCGCAGGGGCCTTCGGTGGAGCTCCCTATTGGGCCACGAAACGTGTGGTGGGGCTGTGCCGAAATGGGCGCGGGGCCCATGTGGACTCAGCCACTGGGGCCTTCGGTGGAGCTCTTTATGAGGCCACAAACCCTGTGAGGGCTGTGCCGAAATGGGCGCATGACGCATGTGTACGCAACCAGTGGAGCTCCCTATGTGGCCACGAAACGTGTGAAGTGTGCCGAAATGTGCGCGGGACGAATGTGGTCGCAACCACTGGGGCCTTCGGTGGAGCTCCCCATGAGGCCACGAACCGTGCGAGGGGTGTGCCGAATTGGGCGGGTGACGCATGCGAACGCAACCACTGGGGTCTTCGGCGGAGCTCCCAGTGGGGCCACGACACGTGTGAGGGTGTGCTGAACTGGGCGCGGAACGAATGTGGTCGCAACCATTGGGGCCTTCGGTGATGCTCACTATGGGGGCACGACGCGTGTGAGGGCTGTGCCGACATGGGCGCGGGACGCATGTGGACGCAGTCTCTGGGGTCTTCGGTGATGCTCACTATGGGGCCACGAAACGTGTGATGGGAGTGTGCCGAACTGGGCGCGGGACGCGTGTGGACGCAGCCACTGGGGCCTTCGGTGGTACTCTCCATGGGGTCTGAAGCGTGTGAGGGGCTGTGCCGAAATTGGCGCGGGACGCATGTGGACGCAGCCACTGGTGCCTTCGGTGGATCTCCCGATGGGTCACGAAACGTGTGAGGGGTGTCACTAGACAGGTGATGATAGCAATGCTGTTGATGTTGATGATGCGGTCGATGATGTTTTTTTCACCGGTGCCAGAGCTTAGAAAGGGTTACCTGACCAACTGAATGCACTGAGCTGCCACGAGCCTGGACAGCCTGCTGCAACGAGAGTGAGCACAGTGCGACTGCCCTTTGAAAAAGGTGAAGAGGAGGCGGAGGGGAGGAGGGGGAAGCAGCGTGACTTGAGCCGTAATTGTTACGGGCAAGTGGCACCTCACAAAACCTCGAGACCCAAATCTACAAGTAGTGCAAGGTCGATGATGTTTTTCACCGGTGCCAAAGCTTAGAAAGGGTTACCTGACCAACTGAATGCACTGAGCTGCCACGAGCCTGGACAGCCTGCTGCAGCGAGAGTGAGCACAGTGCGACTGCCCTATCCCACCTTATGTGCTCTGGCAATTGTCTTGGCCAGCAGTGAGCAAAGGGCGGGAGGGTAGGGTTCTGCGCGCTTTGTCCAAAAGACTCCTTTGGGGTCTTTGCCCTCCAACGCCCAGTGTGGCAACTTAGTTCTAGAACAAAGCGACGTAGTACATTTTCTTGTCAGCGAGCTGAGGCCAGGGACAGTGCCAACAAATTTTGTGGCTTTTCGCCAGCGTTCTCCGAACATACAGAAGTCAAGCCGAGCGATGGAAAAGTGCAATTCTGTAAGCAACTGTATGATTTCGGGAATCACCCACAAAATTGACGCGAGGGGATTCTCGATCGTAACTGTGATACCTTTTTTCGCAGCTAGCCGACAGGCTTTGATTACAAACGCAATGAGCTTATTTGCGGCAACTGCTTTGCTGAGGCCCGTGCCCTCCAGGTCCGGGTAGCCCCAAGGAAAATCGTTTGACCTGAGAGGAGGAGGTCCTGAGCCTCCGGGACGCCGTGCACGCGAGAGGGTCTGACAGGGCAGCGCAAAGTGAAGATGGCAATACCTACGCCGGCGGATGCCCCTTATCAGTCTGTCCTGGGCGCCTGCGAGTGTGAGGTCACACGACGGTCCGTCCAGTATGTCCCAACCTCCACACGGAATTCCCCGACGAGCGAGCGCCTTGGCTAGCCTCCCGGAACCTGCGAAGACCTCCGCCGCTTTCCGACTAGGCGACGGCCTATCGTCCGAGGAGGTCGGTGGAGATGCATAGAACGTCCATGGAGCCACTCGTCGAGGTACTGCACGGCGAGACGGCTGTAGGTCAGGGTGTCCGACGGCGTGCGGTTGATCGCCTGCTGCACCTTCCCAAACTTTTCGTAGCGTCTGACGGAGTTGAACGTCTTCCAGCCCCCGCGCTTCTGGATCTCGGAGAGGCCGCGCCTCTTCAGCATGGCATCCCTCGAGGCACCTCCGTGCCTCACCTGGTAAGTGCAGAGCTGCTCGGCGGCAAGTCCGACGAGGTCGGCGGCGTCCTCGAACGCGTCCTTGCACTGGCTGATCGACAGGCGGAACAGCTTCTCGCTCGGGTCCCGCCCCCTCGCCAACTGCACCAGGTGGGTCGAGATATGCGCGTCCAGGTCCTCGACCGAGACAGTGTCGTCGAAGCTCCCCGTCTTGCGCGGCTGCCCCCTCTCCTCCGGCCGCATGACAAGGCAGAGGCGGTGGTAGCCCCGGAGGCGGGGCGCAGGCAGCACTACATCCCCAACCTGCAGGTCCGTAATCTCCCCAGGTCGGGAATACGCATCGTGGGCCGCCAGCAGGCGGAGGGCCGCACCCCGCCGCTTCGTGGCCAGCAAGGTCCCCGCAATGGCGGCCGTCCATTCCCAAGGCAACCCAAAGCGAGAGGCGCCGGGGGCGGCCTTGCGGAAGCCCCTCAGCGCCCTCCTCATCCGCGTCAGCGGCAGGGCCAGAGGGCGAGGGCCTCCGCTCCTCATGAACTTGAGGGCCCCGAGGAGCTTGTCCCCCGATGACGCCTCGTAGCCCTGCAGGTAGATCGCGTCCAGGTAGTCGACCGCCGCCGCGTCCACGTCCTCGTCCGAGCGCAGTGGGATGCCCTCGTTCGCGGCCCACTTGGCGAACTCGGCGTAGGTCGCCCTGTACGTGGCCGCCTGCTGGGGCTGCACCGACGCCTGCTCCAGGATACTGAGCTGGTGAGGGTCCCTCTTGAGCAGGAGCGGCCCGGGAGTAACACCCCCCGCTGGGACAGCGTGCCTCGCCCTTCGAGCCTTGGCACGGTCCTCCCGCAGACGGCGACTCCGCTGCGCCGAAGGGTGGCCCCTCGGCGGCTGAAGCAGGCTTGCCACCGGAGGCGCGGCCGATCTCGATGAGCTCGTCGATACTGTAACGAAGGACAACACGCCCTCCTGCGGCGCCGGGGGTCGCCTGCGGTTGGCCGCGGGTCCCGCGGGCCTCAGCACATGAACTGACGTCGCCTTCGTTGGAACTGGCGCCCGAGTCGGTGCTCGGAGCATCGATCGTGGGAAACT